AAAAGTCAGTAAGTACTTATATAGATCTTGGCGATGGAAAAAAACGCATTATGTTGAGAATCTGTAGTTTTTGAGATCGCAGATCCCGTGAATATTCGAAATGTGGAATTCTGAAGCAATTTACTGGCTCCTAGGGTAACTTTTTATGAATAGATCAAAGCTATTGACTCTATGTAAAGTTTGTTTACTTTATAATTCATTTAGGACTAAGTTATTTGTTGCTTTTGGGAGACCGTTTTCAGAGATTGCATGACAGAGGTTTAAAGCAGTGTACATAAAAAAACTTTTATTATTTTTGAGATGTCAATTTTTAATTTGTTTTGCTAGACTGGGCTAGGTGAAAATTTAAAGCCATCCCTTTTATGTATCTGTAAGGTTATTATTTTACATATTCTAAAACAATCAGTTAACAGATTTTGTAATTTACATACAGACAGTTTACGTAATACTGACTAAAAATACTGACAAATGTGGCAAAACTAGCAGAATTCAAAGGCAACTGACATGATTGTTTTCAGTTCAGTAATATACATGATCATTAAAAATATTAATTTTATATGTATTAGGGAACTGAATTATTTAAAGCTAGTTTCAACTTCCCTAATATAGTTTACTGTTTCCACATATATTTTTAACATACCCTATAAAATTACATAATTGTATTAGCCATTCGCTTCCAAAATCTGTATTGGAGCATTATTTATTTATTTTGAAAACTAGCACATGTCAAAAAATAATGTTTCCCTAACAATTTTTAATTATATGTAATGCAAGAAATATTTACTTTTAATTTTCAACTTTGTGAGTATTTAGTATTTCCTGAACCATTTGTATGGTGATGTTAAAAACAAGTTTCAGTATCTGCAGTCAGTGTATGATAACTGCCCCACAGAGTCGAGTTTCATAAACCCAGATGACCTGATAAGCATGGCTGAATTTATGTTTAAAGTTTTAAGATTATCATTAATAAAAATAAATCTTATGAACAGCATTCACTAGTAGCAACACTAGGAACACCCAAATTGAATAATACTATTTTCTCATTATATAGCCCAATAATGCAATCTAGTGAGTTTATTCATATATATATGAAGTTGCACTATTTTTATTTTTATTTCTTGTTTTCCTATAAACAAGCCTTGAATGTCCTTTATTGCATACGTATACAATCTTGCTAGAAATTATCAGTATAATAGAGTAATCGAACGCTACATACTGGAAATACTTCCTGGAAGGTGCATGGTTATTCATAATTGATGGCCAAGTGTTGGTATTGACCAAACGATCGGTTTTCTTTTGCTTTTTTTGTTGAAATTTTTTGAATGAGAGTATTCTGCTACTTCGTGTTAGATTGCGGATGTCTTTAAATATACAACGGACCAACAGTAATTTGCTGCTGATTATAGTATATGGAAAGAAAATAAGTAGCTTTAAGTATGGCGTTCCTAAAATACGTGTTGGCTACATGAGATTTGCTGATAAAATTGTAATTAAGCAATGAAAGTGTTAGCTAAGTTGCCATTTGTAGGCCTACCTCTTGTCAAAATATTTACTCAGGATTGCATCATGGGCTTCCTGTGTACTTGGTAGTACACTTGGTTACTGCAAGACAACACAATCCACCATTCATTAGCTTGTGCCGTAGTTATTACAGCACGTATAAGCATAGGCATTTCGCAAATGTCACTTGAATACACTACTGTCCTCAGAAGTTAACATTCACAATTCCTCATTTTTGTGACAGTAGAATAATATAATATTCAAAGTACGCTATTACACCATCAAATGTAATCGAAACACGTCGTAGAGTATTTCGCGATATTCCGTATTTCAGTAACACGTAAACAAAATAAAGAGGTAAGTGAAATAATTAAAATAATGAATCGATACTATTAAATAAAGGCGCTTCGACTATAGCAATATTTGCGCTTCTACCAACGGCTAAACACAATAAACGTTCTACGCCAATGGATTTTGCCGCTTTTGATTACTGTGCTTCAACTATTCCTGCTTCCAAGAATATCTCATCACTCACGAGAGGCCTTTGAGCTTTCGTGAATTTGCGTTTTCACTACGCGTTTTTTGACAAGGGAGGATCCAGAGAGAGGGGCGGAGAGGGAGGGGAGGAGGTAGGACATGATGTATTGCGCCACCATAACAGTGCATAAAATAATATTAACGAGATGGGGGGTGGTCTAAGTGCGGGTAATGAGACAGGGTATGATCTAAGTTCGGGTAAATGAAAAAAAAGGTCTTTGCTCTTATTAAATGTCATGGACAGCGGTTGCGAGTTCAGACTTCCTCTTTCACCGTCTATCAAGTCTGTCCAGGATGTCAGAGCCGTATCCATACATATACAGAGACTCCCCCTTGAGGCCCGCTGGAGTGTCACAGCATCGAGTTCGTGGGGCTTCGTCAAGGGGGGAGGGGGGAAGGTCGGGCGGAGGGGGACGCTCTTGTCCAGCGACGGGCCTCGTATCATGTACAGTGTCTTCCTTCT